TCATTTTCTAACTTCGATTTGAATGCCGCCATGAAAATAAGCCGTGATTTTTTTAAGTGTTCGTTTTCCATATTGAGCACAATAGTTGTCCAATCATTGTTGTTCGCTTCATATATACCGGGTGCGTCTCAAAAGTGGCTCACCCCTATAACTTTTTTATTTTTTCAGATAAAAAAACGAGATTTGGTATTTTTGTATATGACATAAATTAGGATTGATTGACGTATTCAATTGTTTTTGGTTACTTCCTGTTTCACCGGAAATGACTACAACTTTTCATTTTTAAATGGCACCCTCGGAATTTTTTTACTTTATTCGATAGAAAATAACACTCTGAATAGAATGACATAACATATGTCAACTTTTGACGTTTTCGCATATGGTTTATTTGAAGTTATAACTTGCGATTCATAACGAAAATTTGACTTGAAATACGAAGTGTGTGGTATCAAATTATTCGTAAAAAATTCTTTTTTCAAATATGCTAATGAGCCACCCTCGTTCCATTTGAAAAAATTGAGATATGATTAAAAATACGATTTGAGCATTTTCTAATTGATCAGAACAAGACACTAAAAACATTAGACAATCAAATCTATATTTCCAAGGGTCCTTGATTAAAAATTAGTGTTTTTTAACATAGCCATGGCACTCTAGATTGAATTTTATAATACGATTTTTTATTAAGCGAGAATGGTAAAAATTGACATATAATATGTCATTATATTCAGAATGTCATTTTCTATCGAATAAAGTAAAAAAATACCGAGGGTGCCATTTAACAATCAAAAGTCCGGTGAAACAGGAAGTGACCAAAAATAATTGAATACGTCAATCAATCCTAATTTATGTCATATACTAACATATCAAATCTCGTTGTTTTTTCTGAAAAAATAAAAAAGTTATAGGGAGTTGAGCCACTTTTAAGACGCACCCGGTATACTCGTATCCCCACTTTAATGCTAAAAATTTAATTTTTAATTTATCACAATTTTTTTCCTGTGAAAACATCGAAAAAAACTACAATACAAATACCGTATGATCGAAAAAAAACGGGTTTAAAAATTAACGCTAGTTATAGAACGATTAAAAAAGGATAGATCGTTTCTAAATACAAATCTATTTTCAAAAAATTATTTATTCCCCAATCGTTTTTTCAAGTTACAATCCAAATTGTTTTTTCAATTCCGGAAGCTACAAACTTCGATAAAATTAGTTCATCAAATTCTGAAATTACCAATAATTCTTCAACGAACTCGACTGTCTAGCTCCCATCCGATTAAAATGTAAAACTTTTCTTCTCGGGAAACTCCTCCGGAATGTTATAAATGCCAGGCCATGGAAATCTAATGAATATAAAACCGCAATTTAGACGACGACTGGCAAATAAAAGTTATCCCAGCGTTTTGCTCTAGTTTGTTTGTCTGTTCCCGCTTTTATTTTTTTTTATTAATTTTTATTTTAGTTTGTTTCATTCATATTTCGTTGGAAATTCACAGAAATAGATGTCATCAAAACTTTTTATTTCTGAATTACTTTCAGAAATAAAAAGCTTATAGAGAAAAATTTTGCAATCTTTTTATTCTCGATAAATTACATTTCTTTTTTACTGTGATTTTCTGTCAAGTCTGTCGTATTTATATCAATTTCAGTCAAAATCTGTCAATATATCCCCTGGGGAAGTATGTACGCTATGTAATTACACTGAGAGCGGTGAAGTTTTTGGAAACTTCTATTTTTAAACTATATCGGGTGTTTTTGAAAAGTGGCTCACGCCTATAACTTTTTTATTTTTTCAGATAAAAAAACGAGATTTGGTATGTTAGTATACGACACAAATTAGGATTGATTGACGTATTCAATTGATTTTGGTCACTTCCTGTTTCACCGGAAACGACTACAACTTTTGATTTTTAAATGGCACCTTTGGTATTTTTTCTTTATTCGATAGAAAATGACATTCTGAATAGAATGACATATCATAAATATGTCAACTTTTGACATTCTCGCTTAATAAAAAATCGTATTTTAAAATTCAATCCAGAGTGCCATGGCTATGTTAAAAACACTAATTATTCTTAATCAAGGAACCTTGGAAAAATAGATTTGATCGTCTAATGTTTTAGTGTCTTGTCCTGGACAGTTTTAGAAAATGCCCAAATCATATTTTTTATCATATCTCAATTTTTTCAAATGGAACGATGGTGGTTCATTATAGCATATTTGGAAAAAGCATTTTTTTACGAATAATTTGATACCACACACTTGGTATTTCGAGTCAAATTTTCCCTAAGAACCGCAAGTTATAATTTCAAATAAACCATATGCAAAAATGTCAAAAGTTGACATATGTTATGTCATTCTATTAGAGTGTTATTTTAAAAATCAAAAGTTTTAGTCATTTTTATTCAATTGTGGTGCAGTTCATCGATCACAAAGCAAAGGATTGTTTTTCAAAGTAAAATAGATAAAAAATTGAGATTTTTAATGAAAATAATATCAAATTATTAAGTAATCGGTCATGAAAAAACTAACATGAACACAAGTAAAGAAAAAAATATAGGTAACTTAAATTTCACATCAAACAACATAAACCAACTTAACTGAATTTGAGACAAAAGCCCTAAAATATTGAATTAAAAATGCAAATATCTATTAAAACATAACATAATAAATATTATAGGAAGCAAAATAAAAACACTAAATCACCACAATACACCAAAACACTTTTACTTTTACACTGGACGCGCGTTTCGCTAACCATGTTAGCATCATCAGCAGATGATTATAAACTAAAGTACAATCTACAAGTTGAGCGTTTATATACTCGCTCAGTGGGCACCGAGTGGGCGTGGCAAAATCTAGCCAACCGAGTCAGAGCCAACTGAGCGTAACAGTTAGATTTCCGCCACTAGAGTAGTAGGAACAAAAGAACTTGAAGGAATTGGACCGTTGTCTCTGTTCATACTATCTTTACATTTATTAATTCTGATGCTTTCATATGCATCTAATTGCCTGTAATTTGAGACTTGTTTAATTAATTTTAAATTATTAAGATCTATACAATGTTCTTTATGAACAATATGTTCGGCAACGCAAGATTTATCCGGTTTACCATATCTTATCTGAGCTAAATGTTCTTTAAATCTAGTTAATATTGATTTTCTAGTTTGCCCAACATATTTCTGATTACAATCTTTACAAGAAATTTCATAAATACCCGACCTTTCCAGTGGAGGTGTTTTATCCTTTGGATTACCTAATAATTGTTGTAATTTATTATTAGCACTATACACAAGTTTATAATTTACATTCTTCAAAATTCCTTTTAGACCACGGGATAACTCTCTATCAAACGGCATCGAAAAATATTTAGACGTGTCTTTCTCCACTTGAAAAGTCGAATTTTCAGAAATCATTAACCTATACCTACGTTTTCTAATTAATTTATCAACTAGTGAAGGAGAATATCCATTACACTCAGCTACATTCCTAATGTAATCTCTTTCTATTTCATATCTTTCTTTGGAAAGTGGGAAACTAAGTTATCTATGAACTAGGAAATTTAAACTAGCCATTTTATGTTCAACACTATGATGTGATTCATTAGGAATATATCTGCGTGTGGTCGTATTTTTCCTATAGATATTAAATTCCAGGCAATTATTAATATTTCTAATATAACTAATACATCTAGAAATGGTAATCTGTCGTTGTTCTCAATTTCATACGTAAATTTAATGGAAGGGAAACGATTATTTAACTTAGAAATATAATTATCTATGGTGTCTGAATGTGTGTCAAAAACAGCAAAAATATCATCCACATACCTAAACCATACTCTTGGAAAATACTCAAACTGATTCTTAGCCTCCACTTCAAACCTGCTCATGAATAAATTAGCCAGAAATGGAAACAATGGATTACCCATTGCTGTACCTTCCCGCTGTTCAAAAAAGTTGTTATTAAATTGAAAACAATTTTGTTTCATACATAACGTTATAGGAACTTCAAAAGAGAAAAGAAACAAGAACAATAAGAAATAGCATCATTACTTATTTAGAAGTGTTTGATCTCGACCTCTAGAAAGTATCAAAGGACTTTACAACTTAACAAAAAAATATTTTTTTTATTTTTTGTTACCGAGGCCCGGTTCTATGATGGCCAAAAACATCTGAACCCTAATTGGTAGTATTAATTAGAATTTCCAGAACCATACTAAAATATTTTCGTTCAACGATTGTGGAGTTCGTTATTTAGCAAGCAAGGGATGGTTCACAAAAGTAAAACCGATAAAAAATTCAGTTTCAAATGAAAACAATATCAAATTATTAAGTCATGCAAAAGTAAACATGAACACAAATAGAGAACACAAGCGAAAAAAAAAAGAAAACACATAGGTAGCTTAAAAATTACATCAAGCAACATCAACCAACCTCGAAACCAACTTAACTAAATTAGAAAAAAAACTTAACATTTTCAATTAAAGATGCAAATGCCTATAAAAATATAACACAAAAAAATATAACTAATAGATTCAGCAATATTATACTAAATAATAAAATAACATATTTAAACTTCAATCATTGCTAATAAACATTATAGAAACTTCAAAATAACTTCAGAAGTAAGAACAGTAAGAGATAGCATCATTACTTATTTAGAAAAGTTTGATTTCGACCGCTAGGAAGTATCAAAAATCTTTAATTATTATTACCGAGGGCCGAAAGTACCTAAAGAACCGAGAGCTAATAATTTCGAGTCCCGGTTCTTGGAAGGCTCAAAAAACTCAATTCCCGGTACCGACAGTACCGGGAATTCCCGGTACTGTCGGTACAACGAATCATTTTAGTTAACGAAATTGTTCGACTTATAGCTAACTTACCATACTAACCCACCGCGTTCAGCCTGGAACGCATCGCTTTTTTCTGCAATACTTTCCTTCTTTTGACACCTGTCATCATCGATACCCGATTTTCAGCAGCCGGTTTTCTTTGCAGACATCGGGCCAGGATTTCTGGGACTGGCGCAACAGAATGTCCCGCCTATCGCAGTTCTACACCGTCGAGGTGGGCGACACCAAGTTCACGATCCTCAAGCGGTACCAGAACCTCAAACCCATCGGCTCGGGAGCGCAGGGTATCGTCTGGTAAGTGTAGAAACCTGTTTTTAGTGTATATACGGTGAATACGGATGCAATAGTGCTTATAGAGGCGTATATGTGTATACGGATGTCGTAAGGATAGGAGAATCGTATATTTATATACGGGTCTCGCAATGCTAAGTATATATGTATATGTATATACTGATAAAATAATTTCTTGGGTAACTTATATGTATATACGAGATAAAAAAAACTTGTATATGTACGGATGCCATAACGTTATGAGACTCGCATATTTATATACGGATGCAATAATTCTGAGGGCATCTTAAATGTATACAGGGTATACTCCTGGGGAGATTCCTCACGTAAAAGTAAGATTTATTTTTTATATCAACATGGGTGCGATTCTGCTTTGTTTCATAACTACAGGGGGTATTTTTTTTCAATATATTATAATTTTCTTTCAAGCGCTTTTAGCGATTCGAATGAAATTTTGAGGGTAAAAATTAATATAAGTGTTACATATTTTAATGCTAAAAAAGTGTCGGCACAGTCACCAGGGACGTGCATATCTGGGTTTGGTACTATACATTTTCGCACCCATGTTTATAGGAACTTTTTTTGAATTTTTTTGATGAGGAATCACCCTGTATAATACTAAGGAAATTACATTTGTATATACGGATGTGATAATGCTTAAGAAAGCGTATACCGAGGCGTATACATATATACGGATGCCATAAGGCGGTTGCATCGGTATATACAAAAGCAACATAGACAAAATATATGTTTATGTCTTCTGGCCTTGTTCGATCTGTATATTTTGTGTCTTTTGATAATTCTTCGTATATTCTAGTTAAATAGAATTATTTTATTGTATGTAGTATCCTCTTCAACACTTTTTATTTTGAATATACAGATCGAACAAGAAATTTTAATTTTTTTACATTAATTTATTAGTTTGTAAATATATTTTATATTTTTGAAATTATATGTAAAGTTTTGCATCTTGTTTTCTTTATTATTTATAATCTACTTTAGTCGATTTGATTTTGTATTTAAAAAGCATGTGTAGTGATAAAAGTAAAATATATTTATTTAAAAAACATATCGTTTGTATTTGCACATTATATTTTTCTCTTAAAATTTGTTTTTGTAATTATTTTTTATTTTGTTTTGTAGTTGATTTGGATTGAGTTTTGAGTTTGTCGGTTTCACGTGTGGCGTATGCTTTCAATTTTAAATACACAATAGATCCTGCCTGGTAACCTCAAACGTCCCTATACCTAAACCTCCTTATTGTACATAAAAAAGACTTTTATATACACCTTTAGAATAGTATTTTAAGGTAGATAGACAACCCCAGATACATTCCCTAATATTTTTTCAACTTTTATATCATTTTATCCACCTTTTTTAATCCTTGAATCCCTGGTTCTATTATGGATACGCGTCCTGGCTTTTCCCAGCACATTTTTGGAGACACCGAGTTTTGGGTACCGGAAAGGTACATTAATTTGGAACCCAAAGGTGGAGGTGCACAGGGTTTAGTCTGGTAAGTACTAAGAGAAACAAACGTGAAAAACGGAATATTTATAGTTTATGTAAATACATAAAATATAAATATTATAAATATGTATAAACCACCACAGTTTAAATTTTGTATTCCCTTGTTAGATTGTATTTATATTTTTTTGCACGAGACTTGCCTATTGTAGAATGATTTGTTGTTGATTTGAAAGCCTTTCTTTTGTAATATATTGTTAAAACTTTCATATTTTGACATATTTTTTTAATAATATCGTTTCTTGTTTTAGTGCTGCTGTTGATACGGTCACCCAACAAAATGTCGCAATAAAAAAGCTGAGCCGGCCCTTCCAAAACGTCACGCACGCTAAAAGGGCGTACAGGGAGTTCAAGCTCATGAAACTGGTCAATCACAAAAATGTAAGTACTTTTTAAATGATTAATCAACCATTTTTTGAACACCCTGTATTTTTTTCCAAGTCGTTGCTTAAGTTTTTCTTGAAATTGTATACGGATGCACTAAGGCCAATATATCGAGTATATACAGTTACCATATTACCAAAATGTATGTTAATACCTCTTGATATCTTGTTTTATCGTCCAATAAAAGATATATATATATATATATATATATATATATATATATATTATATATATATATATATATATATATATATATATATATATATATATATATATATATATATATATATATATATATATATATATATATATATATATATATATATTATATATATTTTTTGGACGATTTAATCCTGAGTGAAAATAATTCCTTTTCTTTGTCAGATTATCGGTCTGTTGAACGCGTTCACCCCTCAAAGATCGCTGGAAGAATTCCAAGACGTTTATCTGGTCATGGAACTGATGGACGCCAACTTGTGCCAGGTGATCCAGATGGACCTGGACCACGAACGCATGAGCTACCTGTTGTACCAGATGCTGTGCGGGATAAAGCATCTGCATTCGGCCGGCATCATACACAGGGTGAGCATTCAAATTCAAAGTAGATAGTTGTTAAACAGAATTGTTTTTTATTTCAAAGTGTTTATTTTTTAGGATTTGAAACCCAGCAATATAGTGGTGAAATCTGACTGCACGTTGAAGATACTGGATTTTGGATTGGCCAGGACAGCCGGTACAACATTTATGATGACGCCTTACGTCGTCACTAGATATTATAGAGCTCCTGAGGTGAGTTTAAGCAAAAAAAAATACTTGTTCTGGTATTTGGTGAAAATGTAATAGTTTTATTGAAATTAGTGTTATATATACAAGGTGTCCCGGAAATAAATGCAAGTATTTTAACTGGTAGTATAGTTCAACCCCAGAAACACGCCTATGAGATTTTTTTCGCGAAAAAAAATTGAAAATTCGAAATTTTTTGAATTTTTTTTTGAATTTGTTTTAGTTTTTATTTAAAAATAATAATTTCTTAATAATATGGCAACATAGGTAGTAGATTAAATTTACAAGAAAGAAAATCCAGAAAAGATCCAGCGGTTCTCAAACTTTAAGCAAAAAAGCATTTTTTGTTTAAATTTTCAAAGTAAAATACTTAACTCGGTTATTTTGGACTTACAAATGGTAAAGAGAAAAAATGTTTCTTTTGACCAGATCTACCACCCCTTGAAATATTTGCACTTATTTCTGGGACACCCTGTATTTATATTGAATATATTTTCAGGTGATATTAGGTATGGGTTATACAGAAAACGTCGATATATGGTCGGTAGGCTGTATTATGGGCGAAATGATAAGAGGAGGGGTACTATTTCCCGGTACTGATCATATAGATCAGTGGAATAAAATCATAGGTACTGTATTATATTTTTTGTATAACAAAATTTCACATTTTAATTAATGAATGTAAAGACATTATGATCAGAAATATGGCTCCTATTTCTTATAGATTTATTCTTCAACTATAAAACAGTATTATAGCCGTGTAAAATTAAACCGACCTGTCATACATGTAGTTCAAAGTTGTCGTTTTGTAGAACAACTTGGTACGCCCTCTCAACAATTTATGGCAAGGCTACAGCCCACGGTGAGGAACTACGTGGAAAATAGGCCGCGCTTTCCCGGATTTTCCTTCGAAAAACTCTTTCCCGACGTCCTGTTCCCTTCAGACAGCAATGAACATAATAGGCTGAAGGTAAGTCACGGTACTGACGCTTGCTGAAAGTACCACGTTCGAAATCCGAGACGTGTAGGTGATTTAATTTCTTTGCAGGCTGGTCAAGCTCGTGATTTGTTGTCCAAAATGCTCGTGATCGACCCTCAGTGCCGGATATCGGTAGACGAGGCGCTTTTGCATCCCTATATTAACGTCTGGTACGATGAACAGGAAGTAAACGCGGTAAGTCTCAAATAAATCACATAATCGTGAATCATTTACATTTTTTGTTGGACTCACAAATATTTATATCTCAGAAAATTACTTAGAGAAGATTTTTAGATAGTTTGGTAAATTTATTTTGGCCACTATATTTTTTCCATAAATTTATGTCTATTATACTTCCCACATGTTTAAACTTTTGTAAGGTTTACAAAGGTAAAACATCTGTAAACTTTACAGCAGTAATACATCTGTTGTGTTACAAAGTTGAAGCCTATGTAACGTTTAAAAACGTCTCAAATTTGTAGAGGTAAAACATATGGAAAGCTTACAGAAGAATCATTATTATAAAATTACTTGGGGAGTTATAAAATATACAAAAGCGTTGTATGTTTGGAAATATTACCCCTAATGAAATTTTACATACATTTGTATGATTTACAAAGGTAATACATCTGTAACATTTACAGAAATTAGACTTCAAAGTTTATTTAAACATTTTTGTATTTTTTTAAACTAAAAAGATCTTTACATCGTTTATAGATTACTAAAACTTTATTTTGGCCGCTATTCAGTCCAATCATTGTTTTGTCGATAAATTTATGTCCATTATACTTTCCACATATAAAACTTTTGTAAGGTTTACAAAGGTAAAACATGTGTAAAGTTTACAGCAGTAATACATCTGTTGCAAAGCTGAAACCTATGTAACGTTTACAAAGGTAAAACTTCTCAAATTTGTAGAAGTAAAACATATGGAAAGCTTACAGAGGTTAAACCTCTGTAACGTTTACAGAAGTCAAATAATTATTGTAAAATTACTTTGGTGAGTTATAAAAGATACAAAGGCGTTGTATGTTTGAAAATATTACCTCTAATAAAATTTTACATACCTTTCTATGGTTTACAAATGTAATACATCTGTAACATTTACAGAAGTTAGACTTTAAAGTTTGTTTAAACATTTTTGTATTTTTTTTTAAATTAAAGAAGATTTTTACATCGTTTATAGATTACTAAAACTTGATCTTGGCCACTATTCAGTCTAATCATTGTTTTGTCCATAAATTTATGTCTATTATACTTTCCACATGTAAAACTTTTGTAAAGTTTACACAAAGGTAATGCATTTGTAAAGTTTACAGCAGTAATACATCTGTTGTGTTACAAAGTTGAAACCGATGTAACGTTTACAAAGGTAAAACTTCTCAAATTTGTAGAGGTAAAACATATAGAAACCTTACAGAGGTTAAACCTCTGTAACATTTACAGAAGTCAAATAATTTTTGTAAAATTACTTGGTGAGTTATAAAAGATACAAAGGCTTTGTATGTTTGAAAATATTACCCCTAATGAATTTTTTTTGTATGGTTTACAAAGGTAATACATACATCTGTAATATTTACAGAAGTTAGACTTCAAAGTATGTTTAAACATTTTTATATTTTTTTTTTAAATTAAAGAAGAGTTTATAGATTACTAAAACTTTATTTTGGCCACTATTCAGTCTAATTATTGTTTTATCGATAAATTTATGTCTATTAAAGTGGATGTCCTGAATAACCTAAACATACTTCTAAAATTACGTTGTTAGTTATAAGAGATACCAAGAAATTGATATATTTGAAAGTAGTACCCCAATTTAAACTTGACAGATGTGAAACATTTACACGATTTACGAGGTTATGTAACTTAATCTCTGTAAAGTTTACAGCGGTAATGCATCTGTAAGATTTACAAAGGAAATACCTCTGTAATATTTGCAAAGGTGAAAACCTCTGTAAATCTTACAGAAGTAAAGCTTCTGTTACATTTACAAAAGTCAAAACATTCTTCTTTAATTATGTTGTTATTTATAAGGGATAAAAATGAGTAGAAACGCTTGAAGTAACTTTTACAAAGGTTAAAAACTTTGTAAAGTCTACAACAGTTATCCTTCTCTAAGGTTTAGAAAGGTCAAACCTCTCTAATTATTGTAATGGTAAAACTTTTCAAGCTTACTGAGGTAAAAACTCTCCGTAAAACTTACAGAGGTAAAACCTCTGTAAAGTTTACATAAGTCAGACTTCTGTAAACGTTCAAGAGGTGGTGATTTTTATGATTTATTTGTTTTAGCCTGCTCCTGGTCCGTACGATCACAGCGTCGATGAACGAGAGCACACTGTTGATCAGTGGAAGGAGCTCATCTACCAGGAAGTGATGGAGTACGAGAGTTCTCACGGCAGGGCTCAGTCGAGCGGATCTCAACAACCCAGTCCGGCTGCTCCCAATAATTCAGAACCCAACGGTAAGTAAATGATGCCCTAGAATTTTTTTATCCCTCATTTTTAGAAAACATCCTGTATAGGTAAATAATTGAGGTATTTTTTCCAGGTTACTGAGTCATAACAAGCACAATCCATAGACTAGTATAAAGAAAACCAAAGGAAGAAACCGTTTACTTAAAAAGAACAATAAGTAGATTTTAATCCATGCTTAGCAATGCAAAAAAACTCAAGCCCTCTAATATGTTAGCGAAGGGAAGAAACTACACTGTATGATCAAGAAAAAGAACGACATCGCGGTAGCCTTTCAAATGACAATCGACAATAAAATCTATCGGGTCGACCTCTATTAATTACTAATTATTATCGAATGTCGCTTCAAAGACTACTATGACGCCGTTTTTTTTCGATCAAACAGTACGTATACATATAATATGAAAAAATCAGCAATAGAAAAAACTTCAACGTGTGTATTTTATACGAAATCGTCAAAGTACCTTATCGTTATTTAATAATTTTTAATGGAAAAAAGTGGAAAATGAAAAAATGGACAGAAGAAACGCATAATATGGATGAAGTGCAGACCGAAGAGACTTTTTTTACAACTAATAAAAACTTTTGAGCAATTGTTATTGATATATACATAACGGGTTGACGCAGTTATTATTATTATTATTAATTAATTAATATTGAAAAATATCTCTAATCAGTATGTGTGATATATGATTGATATAAGGTTTTTTTAATTTACAACATTTTTCGTTGTGTTTTTCGATGTAGAAGTTGATTTTGATCATACCAAAAAATTTCGTAGGTATTTTTTACATTAAAAATATTAAATGTCTTAAAAATTTCGCTTTTTCAACCATGCCATTCGTTTTTTATGTATTTTATAGTTTATTTTATACAGTATCTATTTTTATTGGACTTTGTTATATTTATTATTTCTTTGATTGTTTATAAACGACTAAAACTTTATTTTGGCCACTTTTCAGTCATGTCATTATTAAATCTGTTGTCTCTGTAAACTATACATAGACAATACCCTTGTAAAGTTTACAAAAGAAAACTCGTAAGGTTTACAAAGGGAAAGGCTCTGTAAGGTTTAGAGCTTTAATACCTCTGCAAGGTTTGACAAATATAAAACATCTAAGTTTTACAAATGAAAAAATGTGTAACTTTACAGTGGTTTTACCTCTGTAAAGTTTTACCCGGCTTTTGTAAAATTTGCAATGATAAAACTTTTATTTTGGCCACTTCTCAGTCTAGTTATGTCATTATTAATTCCGTTGTTTTATCTAACTCTGTAAACTGTACATAGACAATACCCCTGTAAAGTTTACAAAAGAAAACTCGTAAGGTTTACAAAGGGAAAACCTCTGTAAGGGTTACAGTTCTCATACCTCTGCAAGGTTTGACAAATATAAAACATCTGTAAATCTTACAAAGGCAATGCCTCTGTGTAAGATTTACAAAGGAAAAAGCGTGGCAACTTTACAGGGGTTTTACCTCTGTAAGCTTTACCCGGCTTTTGTAAAATTTGCATTGATGAAACTTTAAAAGTTTACAGATATAAAACCTCTGTAAAGTTTACCGAAGGTAGATTTCTATAGAATCAAAGTTCCTTCCATATCTCTTTATTTTAGCATCTATTAATTTTAATTATGAACTTATATTTTGTATTATTATATTTTAACCTTATCTTAAATCAAATTTTATTAAAGGTAAAGTAATTTGAACTAATTTTTATTTAATTCAAGTAATAGATGTGTTAAGTTATTTTTTATATTCTACATTTTTTTAAAAATTTCTAAATTAACTTAATAATTTACTCAAAAAAATGAAAGACTGTGTGAATCGTCCCTTGATTCTGATAATGCGCGTGCAATAACCATTGAAACGTCTATATTTAGTTCGTTAAGATCGCTCTAAGAAAATTTTTGGTGTGACAATCAAACTAGTTATTATAGTTATTTATTTTATTTAAACCGAAAACCAGACATAGTTTAGCAAAATATTGGAAACCTTAAAAATAAGTTTAAAACAATAATATTATATTATTATTAACATATAATGTGAGTGAAGAAGATTGAGAAAATCACATCTTAGCTTGTAAAATTTTAGCCTTTTTTTGGTTTCTTCAAGTATGAAGAAACTATGTTATATACAGTGATACACAAAAAGTTCTTGTGAACAGCTTGACTGTCATTGTAAATTTTTTGATTTTTATTCTCTTAGACTTAACGATTAATTGTTTCAAGTTCTTTATTATTTATAAATATTGTTTTTATTTTTATAGTATATATGTTTTTCTAGATTGTAGCGACTACTATAGTAATCTTAAGGATTTTAAACTGAAAATGAAGTAGAAGAAACAGAAGAAAAAAGTGAAGACGATGAAGCACAATTTAGCAATTTAAAACAAATAAGAATTTTGCGTTTATAAAGTAATAAAAGTAACGTTAAAAAATATTTGAAAAATCCATCCGATCCATTTAAAATTGTGTAAAAAGTTACAAATTTAGATAGCGGAATTTTATAGGTATATAACTTGGGTACCTTTGGTTTCGTCTTGGGTTTGTTAGCCTTGAAAATCGAACCTTTTTCGTTTATAAAATAGTTTGTTAGGAACTTTTCATAAGAGTGAAGAAATTTAAATACAAAAAAAACTGTTGGTCATTTGAACTGCTATGGTTTATCCCAAAAAAGTTCAGAATATTACCTATAATGTTAACTTTACATATGCAAAACTTTTGTAAGGTTTACAAATGAAAAACCTCTGTAGCATTTACAGCGATTATACTTGTAAAGTTTACAAAAGATTCGCAAAGGTAAAACTTCTAAAACTTACAGAGGTAAAACCTCTGTAAACTTCATAGAAATCAATTTACATATGCAAAACCTTTGTAAGGTTTACAAATGTAAAACCGCTGTAGCCTTTACAGTGATAAAACCTATGTAAAGTTTACAAAGGTGCAGCCTCTTTGTAAGATTCGCAAAGGTAAATTTTCTAAAGCTTACAAAGGTAAACCCTCTGTAAACTTTACAGAAGTCAAAACCTTTTTCTAAAATTATGGTGGTCATTTGAACTCTGGTATATCCCAAAAAGTTGATACGTTTAAAAATTGTTTCTTTAATGTTAACTTCACGTTGTAAGGTTCACAAATGCAAAACCTCAGTGACTTCTATAGCGATAATACCTCTGTAAAGTTTACTTAAGGTGAAACCTCCTTGTAAGATTTGCAAAGGTAAAACTTCTAAGGTTTGTGGAGATAAAACCTCTATAAAGTTTACAGAGGTAAAGGTGCACTTTTTATCTCTGTAAATTTTCTGTAACGCTTACAGATGTCAAAACATGCTTCTGAAATTACTTGGTCATTTGAACTACTGTGGTTTATCCCAAAAAGTTCACAGCAAAAAGTAAGAAAAAATATTAAATTTTCAACAGAAATATCTATGAAAATCTATAAGTTATTTATTAGACAAAAAACATCTGCTTTTGACCCAAGAAAAAAATCAGTATTTTTTTATTTGTCGTGAACTTTTTGGTTCACCCTGTATATGAATCTAAGGGGCGTTTTTTTAAATATTTAACTGTAACGTTCTGTAGTTCAATAAAAGTCTAAGAACAACAGACTGTTGTAGAGAACTTTAAGTCAGTGTTTTGTAATTCTGTCAAGCCTTTACTTTAATGAATATACAGGGTGTGTGAGAATTTTTATAGAGTTCCCTGTATATTCGTGGTTAAGGTACATATATATTAGACCTTATATCAAATTTTTGAATAACATCTCGAGTTTTTTCAATATTTTTTTGAAACGAATTTTTGTTGAAACACGCCCTGTACTATGTGTCAATTGAAAACGGTGTTACGGTAGGCGTAGAATTATCATTTTTTGCCACATAGCACGCACACCTTTATCAAAAATATTTTTTCTTATTTAAACTAAACGCAATATTGCCTGTAGGTCATTTAAACTAATTATAAAAAAACGTAATTTCACGATATACTGGGCGTTTTTAAATGAACGAACGTATTTAAATTTGGTCGCTCTTATTTAAATTTCACAATTAGTGAACTGATAATTAAGGAGACTTAAGATAAAAATAAAAACCTAGACTTATAATATGGTAGATCTTGACTTGAGTCACACAACACTGTAAATGTCCAGCTGTTAATTTATTTTGTTATTTTGTATTATCTCGTGTAAAGGAAAAGAAAAACCGTTCAAAAAAATAATGTCGACTGTGTAAATAAATGAATAAATATTTCATTTTGTAGTGGAAAGAATAAAACAACCAAACGTAGACTATATAAAAAATGGTGTAAACACTTAGATGGGTAGACTGCTTGTTCGTATATTTATTTCGGTTTTGTTCAGGTTATTGTCTTTTTCAGTTTGGTTTATTGAGTCCCGAAAGAAATTGTAACACGGTTGTTTTTAAAAAACACTTTGATCCGTTGACGATCACTTTTAGTACTTTGTAGTGTACATTCAGTGCTTGTATTGTTCTGGCTTTGTAAATAAAAGATACAAGAAACGCAATTCTTGTTTTTTCTAATGGACCCCATACACCAGAAGATCTGGCCTTTGGCTGAAATTTTTGTGTTTGTGGGCTAGACCAAGTCTTTGGCAGATTCAGCCTAGTCCACGGACTTGGCCTGTGAGATTAGATTTGTCTAAAAAACAAACTTTTGGACGCTTTTTAATATAGTAGTAGGTCTCTCTTACACAATATAACGCGTTTTCGATTGTTGTTCATTTTTAAAAACACAGACGATGCTGAATCTATTACATATGACTGATTAAAACTTTTAGAAATTTTAAAAGATCGCGAGCCAGGCCAAAACTGCTATAAAACGTCGTAAGATCTAATCGGCAGGCCGGGCTTTCTGGTGTATGGGGACTATTTATTTTTATCCATTGCGCGCATTCAAATTATTTAGTAAAGGCGCCGGTTGTTTTTTTTTCTGTATAGGCAACCAGATATACACATACAATCAAGAAATATATTTAAAACATTTTTGTAATAATATCGTAAGATAGTATTTATAGGAGGTAAATAATTTATTATCTGTAATTTTCTTATTCCCAAGGTGTTATTTCTTGTAACTTATGTATACAAATGTAAACTAAAATTCTTCCAATATTCTACCTCGTTCGGCTTGGCTTTGACTTGTTTAGTATGAACCTGTAAAATCTCATCTATAAAAATACAAAGAAAAATGCAGCTAATAAATATTGAGAACTGCTAAACAGCTATAAATCTATTCTTATTTTTGTATTCTATACTTTTACATTTGATATATATCTTAGTTTAGAAACAATAAATATTATGACGCTATTTCAACCATATTAACATTAAATAAATTGCCTTTACACCAGGATAGGCCACAGAATCAGCTCCAAACTTTGCTGTAAACTCGTTAAATCACCTCTGTATCTTCTACTAACTTATACATAGAATATATAACTTCTGTTAGTGTATTCTAGATATTTTTGTAAGTTTTATAACTCGTACATCTGTAATAAATGAGTAAGAGCGTTTTTCACCGCTTTACAACATTCCATTTTAGGGCATTGTGCTTCAGTATTTCTAATCATATCCCCCATACAAGAAAGATTACATTTTACTTGGCACAGTGTTAAATCAGCTTGTTTTTGAAAACTGTTTGGATTCCCTATTTTTTCCTGCAAGAGTCTTACCTAGAAGTGCAGCATTAGTGTATATAGGATATAATAAAGCTAGTGTGGATACTTTTTCTTGGATAATTCAGCTTGTACACCAAAAACAAGGAATATTAAAGATTTGATTTAAGAATTATTTCTTATTTACTATTGCTGTTCTTGTTTATTTTTGATGTTGTCTTTGTCGAATAATTTACCATAGATTATAATTTCAACTCTCTCCTCTTTTTCTAGACACTGGCTGAATGACCTATAAGTTTAAAGCCATATAAAAAGGAAAGAAGAGATAATTTATGTCAAATCTGTGGTTGGCCATGTTTCAAGCCGCAAATAAAGAAAAGAAGAAGAACATTAGTTTGATTCTGTGGTTGCGATCTCTTAAGACCTGAAAAATGAAAAAGAAGAAGAACGCTGGTGGCGCCATTGTGGAAAAGTGAGAAAACTAAAATATTTCCAAGGTTACCAAGATATTATTGAAATCCTGAAACTAATTTAAAACTATATTTTTGTAAGTCTAAAATGAATTGAACCGTTACAAAATCAAGACAAATCGAATAAACATTTAATACAAACTTTGTTTTAGTAAAATAAATATTATATTTTGTTTTAGACACACCATTATTGATGCAGCAAAAAATGATTATTCTGGTTTACATGCAATTTACATGTGTTCAATCTGACAACGTTGGCGTGCGACATTTTCCGTTGTTAACTGGAAGTCATTATGTTGCTCTTACAATTTTTCTGATTTTTAATAGAAAAAGTAATTTTTCTGTACATTGTTTAAGTGTATTCTGTTCCTTAGGGCTTGTGTAACCTCATGAAAATGTAAGTACTCATTATCTTGCATGTTTTCTATAGTTTTTTTCACTTCTCTAAGTATTTCCATTACATCATCATTAAAACAAGATTAAAACTGATATATTTTTCCAGTTTTCACAATTTTCTTTTTCAAAATCGAGTGCATAGTAATATAGACACTTTCCTTGATGTCCTTATTTTACATCAAAAATATAGTTACATAGAATTATGCTCTATATTTTTAAAGATATTAGCTATTTTTTGAACCATTTTTTTATAGAGTTTAGAGATGCTTTTTGTTCCTAGATAAATTTTTTAGATGTTTATTCGTACGGGCAAACAATTATTTTCTACGTCTTTAAAATAACTCAGTGTAGGGAAGGCCTCCCCCATTCTTGATAATTATATAATTGTTTTGGATTTAAAAAAACATTTTCACATTATTAATATACGCTGGTCGCCATACTTTAGTTAACAAATTTGCATTGTTTTAATATAATGTTTTAATTATAATTTTCTTTTTTAGGAGTGTTATTAATAATACACACATAAAAGAAGAGACTTGGAATTCAGATGTTTGGCCATCATTCTGGTTCACGAGACTGGTTTTCCATTATCTGATTAAAAGTAAGTTTATTTTATTATTGAAAAATCAATTTGCATAAATTTATTAAATGTTTATTAACAGACTAATCGTATTTTAAACATATATTTAATACTAATGCGAAACAAAAAGAATTAATAGAATTATTACAGCATTAATTTAAAAAAAATTAATATTTATTTCTTTTTTACAGATTTTGTACAACAAATCGATGGAAGTATACATAGTTCCAAGGCAGTGCATTTATATGTTTCACGAATCTTACCAACAATGCATCAGGACTTATAAGTATATCTAAAATTTTATTTCGTTTGGGGTAAATATATTTATACTGGTTTTTAATGTTCATCGGTGGATTTCATCATTTTTAAATTTAATTAAGTAGGAAAAAAATTCAAATGAGTCTCTGAGTTACATTTCTATGGTTCCTTGTTATCATAGACAAATTCAGACCATCTATTTTTCATTTTGGTCACTTTCTGTCTTTTGGTCACTTCCTATATTTTCGGTAGAATGTCATCTACTTACAATTTTACTTCCAGTTGTTTTAATTTATTTTTATTTCTTTATAATAGCTTGACTCCCATATATTTTTATTTTTGATTGTGGGAATAATATCATCATTGATCAGTTCTTTAAATATTTCATTGGCTGTATTACTATAAGTCTTATTTGTTTGGGAAAATACCTTCTAACTTAGAATTTTACTTCATTCTGGTCAATCAATCTTCAATTTTACTCCATATTTCCTGCATTGTGGAAATAATAAAATCAATAATTCTATGTAATATCCGATTGACTGTATTTCTATACAGTTTCTATTTCTGTAAGTCTTCTTTTATTTGTATTTTTCGTGTAGAGTCATTTTTCTAATACTTTTTGCTTGTGTTGTTCCTTGTACAGACTTTTAATTTTGATGAATTCATTTTCATGTCATTTTTTTCACATAATATGTCATGAATTGCAGTATTTTACAGATTCTATTGGTTCGGTTTGCTTGTATTTAAATTCACTTAAAAATCCCATTATTAAAGACTAATTTCTTTTTTAATTTCATCAATTCCTAGCGCATTCACCATTTATTTAAAACCCCTGACTTTCACATAATGTGACTTCTAGCTTTTCTAGCCTATTTTCCAATTAATTTTCCCGAGTAACATCGACTCCAGAGCATCATAACTAGCCTCCTCCAAGAGGAGGAGACCCGGGTCACCCCCTAACCCTGATGTTCGGGCATCGATGACCTGTGTAGCATGCAGAGGTACCCAAGGGAGTCACCACCCTCTGGTTTACGAGCTAGGTGTTCTAACGCTAGAGGCTTCGGCCGGATACGACCTGGCACCCAAGCTACGAGACTTCTTCGTGCACGTATCCCGTGACGTCTCGACGGTAGAGGGGGCGGGATATCGGACACATTGAAGATGATGAGGGGGGTCCGCCTGTAGGGGGTCCCGGTGGATGTCCGCTCGAGGGGTGACGAGGGCGACCCGAGACGAGGCTGCTTAGCTGGGATGGGAACTGACTGGCGAGGCTTAATCGTCGGACAAGGGTTAAATCTGATGAAGGGGGGCGAACTTATATGCCCTGGAGGATTTTTTCTTTATGTGTTTGATGTCAAATTTTGACATCCTAGATATTCCTGAGAGAAGGCCAAGCTTAACTTTTTGCCATTTTTCCTATTGTTATTGACCACATATCTTTATTTTTTTATTATCTAAAACTTTTTGCTGCTCCATCTTGCTTTTGGTCTACCTCTATTTCATTGTTTTTGTCTACCATATTTTCTTTATTATTGGAGTATTATCTGTCATCAATTATACAAACTCTTCCAATGTCAGACTTTTTTTGAGACATATTTTGATATCTCTATTGCCCGTATAGAACTCTGTTTCACGGTTTTTGTCTACCATATTTTCTTTATTATTGTAATGTTATCTGTCATCAATTCTACAAACTCTTCCAATGTCAGACTTTTTTAAGACATATTTCGACATTTCTAGTACCTGTATTTTCATGTCATTTTATTTAATGCATCATATCTCTATTTTACTATATGTCTTTTATACTTTCTTCCTTGTGGGAATGTCATCATCCATCAGTTCTATAAACTCTTCCATTGCTAAGTCTTCTTATATGTATCCACTAAGTCTTCTTATATGTATACAATTGTATATTTTTTTTTGTATTTTCTTGGGCTTTTTTGTGTTTTCTTTCAATCTTCGTTTGGCTTTTCTAAGTTCATAATTTATTTTCATACAATTGTTTGCAATTTATCATACCTCTATTTCTTTATTTGTTTCTCATATTATCTCCAATCTAATTCTTTTTAAAATTGTGTTTTTGAATGGGATATTGTACTGCTTTGGAACAGCTTGGATTTTTTGGGACAGCTGTACTGCATCATTGAAGAAGAAACTAAATAATTTTAGGTAAATTATACTAAAAGGTGTATTTTTTAAATCGAATATGTTTAATAAATACCGTGAAGTGGGGTGACTTTGTTTGACAAAAATTGTTGTATTTTCTCAAATGCGCATGGTCTATGCTATAAGTGGTAATAAGGACAACACAACAATAATACGCTTTTTTGTTTATTAAACAATATATATATATAATATATATATATATATATATATATATATATATATATATATATATATATATATATATATATATATATATATATATATATATATATATATATATATATATATATATATATATATATATATATATATATATATATACTGGATGGGCAAAGTTAGTTGCTTATATGGGGTGTCTTTGCCCTCTTCCTTATTCTTATTGATAGACCAAAGCCACCCCATTTAAAAGCATAATTACGTAAAATATGCGTCATCACCCTCAATATTATAACGAACTTCTGCATAATACTTATCTCAATATAGCGTGGTTAACTATTGCAGCCACGTAGAAGTTTGAAGCGCACAAAATAGGCTTTAAAAACAGATTTGGCTTCACAGCACTGTAAATGCTACATCGCAACTGACGGCAAGCGTTTAGCGACGTTCCGAGACGTGGGGCGCCTCCACCCATAATTTACCGATAACACATAACGCGTTCTTTTCAAGTAGTGGCTACGGCTACGTCTAACATATTTTCGGACGGAATTTGGAAAAGTCACCCCAAGAGGTAAAGTCGCCCCATTTCACGGTACTTAATATTATTGTATTTTGTAAAATATGTAGATATAAATAATTAATTTTAAATAAAGCATTTTTGGCGCACAATTTCCTATAGTATAGGCAACTAAAAATACACATAACGTGTATATAGAGTTGCCTGAATTAGGAGGTTGAATTTTTTAATTTAGTTTTTCATACTTTTTTAAATATTGTGAATAAAATAATTCTTAATTACAAATACAGCTAACTTAACCATGTTTTTTCGTTGTATTACTACAAAAAAAATTCTTTTCCTTTCACGAAGATTTTTATATATGTTATAATATTTTATATACCCTATCAATTTACTGAAAATTTAAAGTTATAGAATTAGTATTTTGTAATCAAGCTTCTTAATGAACAAATAATTAATTATTTCTTTATATTTTTCTTACAGAACCAATACTTTCCAGAAGGGTAGCCAGAAGACTTACCTCTTACCTCAACATAGCCATCATCATGTCCATCAACACCTTGGATTTTAACATGGCTTTTATATTACTCTTTGTTAATAAAATATAATATGTAAATAAATAATAATTAATAATAAATGAGTTTTATTGAACATATTAGAAATACTGTCCAATACTGAACAAAAAAGTCAATTAAAATGTCATTAATTATACATATATACAACTAAAAAGTTGTTCTGGATTTGACAGTATTTTATATAAAAATATATTTACCTTTACCTCCTCGCTCTTATGTACTCCTGATAGAAATCCGAGAAAATTCAGCTTTTAACAAAAATTGAACGAACATTTTTAATGCTTGTCCAAAATCACTGATTTCTATCAGGAGCACATAAGTGTGAAGAGGTAAGAAGTAAATTGGAGTACCAATATTTACCTAGTCGCTCTTATGTACTCCTGATACATATCCGAGAAAATTCAATTTTTATCAAAGGCTGCTCGAAAATTTTTAAACCGGGTCAAAAATCGCCGATTTCTATCAGGTATACATAAGTGCGAAGAGGTAAGGAGCAAATTTAGTACCACATGTAAATAAAGCATCGATCAACGATATTTCTGCTATCTCTAGCACTTCGACCTCGTTTCCAAACTTCAACCCTTAATATTTCGGAAACTATAAGGGTTAGAGAGGAACGGAACACGGCATTCGATAGGCATTTCAACCCTCTATAAGGGCGCAAAACAAGGGCGCGATCGGAGACCAAAAATTCTTCTGGCGAAAAATGAGGTGAGGGGTTAACCTTACTTCATTTTTGCTCAACATTTTTTTTTGTCTCCGATCGCGCCCTAATTATGCACCCTTAAAGAGGGTTGAAAGGCCAATCGAATGCCGACTTCCGTTCCTCGATATCTCTTTTAGTTTAGAAGTTATGGCCGTTTTTCCAAAAAAATCTAGCAATTCTAACTCGTTGGTCAGTTGCTCCAAAATTTGGAAGGTCGAAATTTTTTTTGGTCGGTTTTGTTAAAAGTGAAAAAATTTTGAATTTGTATCAGGAACATATGAGAGCGAGGAGGTATTTTTCGGTACCAGGAGCAAGCAGTTACATTCACCATTTAATTAAAAAGAATTCATTTAAATATCTATTTTGATCTTTTGTTCAAATTCTAAAAACGCTGGGTTTTGACCAGGAATATATAAGAGCTAGGAGGTAAAGTATTAGGAGTAAAATTTAAAAGATATTTACTAATACTTTTTCAAATCTCGACTTTAAAATAAAACACAGTAAATAATTTAACTAATAAAATGTATTATACAAAAAAGTACAATTATAAAATAAATACAATAAAAAAGTATATTAATTCTAGAAGATTCTTCGTTCCAATGATGCCAAAGCTTCTACTCTGAAAACAAAATAAAACATTAGGTAATATTAAATCAGCACTGTAAGTATTTCATTAATCATACGAAATGTATGATCAAAAAGTTTTGTTTAAGTGGGCTTTGACAGCTAAAAGATTTAAGTTCTTTTCTTATATCCCTATAAAATTTATTTTATCATATGGTAACGTATGATCGAAAAAAAACGGCGTCCAGTTGGCTTGGAAATGACGATCAATGACATTCCCCATATAATTTTACATATAAAATGACAGCGATGTTGATTTCATAGCCATCACTGACGCCGTTTTTTTTCTTTCGATCACACTGTATTTACGTCCCTAACAATTAAAAAATACTCATAATGCTCGTTTTTTTAAATTTATGGACCATACAAATCGAAAAAAAAAAACGATGTCAGAGTTAGCTTAGAAATAAAAGTTATTGTGATTTTATATGTAAAATTATATGGGAAACGTCGGGAATCCTCATTTCTAAGCCAACTTGGCGTCGATTTTTTGTACACATTGTATTTACATTCATAGTAACTAAAAAAAACATAATGCTCCAGTGTTTTTTTTTCAAATTTATATGTATCATACAAATCGAAAAAAAAACGATGTCATAGTGAGCTTAGAAATAAAGATCCCTGTGATTTTATATATAAAATTATATAGGAAATGTCAGGAATTCTCATTTCTATGCCAACTTGACATCGTTTTTTACCACACTGTACCGTATGATAAAAAAAACGGCATCAGCGATGGCTATAAAAATAAAGATCGCCGTCATTTTATATGTAAAATTTATCAGGAATGTCAACGATTGTCATTTCAAAGCCAACTGGACGCCGATTTTTCCTCGATCATATGGTACTGACATTCACAGCAATTAAAAAAATACCCCCAATGATTTGGTATTTTTGTTTTCAAATTTATATGTATCACACTGACACCAACTTGACGGGGTTTTTTTATCACATGGTATTTACATTCTTAACAAACAGAAAAAATACTCGTGAAGCTCTAGTATTTTTTTAAACACATAACATATATGTACTATACAACTCAAAAAAAAAACGATATCAGAGTTAGCTTAGAAATGAAGATCGCTGTGGCTTTAAATGTAAAATTATAAGGAGAATAAAGCGATTGTCATTTCTCAGCCAATTTGACATCGTTTTTATCGATCATACAGTATTGTAAGATGTAACTATAGTCTGTCCAACAGGAGGATCCAATGACAGTTACGTCTGTCATTTTATCACGAGTAAATTGTGTTTTCTGTCATTTTAGATGTTGTCTGTCAAAATATTCCCTGACAAACTATAGTACCATCTAAAGAAACAAGAAGCATATTAATAACATGGCATTACCAAAATATGAATTTTTGAAGTTTTTAAGTTAATTTTCAATCCGTAACTTGGCTTGAACAAACCAATTCATCCACACCCTCATCCGATGTGTAAACGTCTCCAATTTGTATTTTGTGTTTGTTTCAGTTGCTCCAGGTTGCTCTATATCCTCTACTTCTTCAGAAGTCTATGCCCACCTTGATACTGTTTATTTTTGACCATATGGTGTTGTTACTGTAAATATAGTAGAATTTATTTGTAACATAGAAACCATTATACAAAACTAGTTAGTAAACATACAATATTTAATTATGAAACTATTGTTTTTTTATTCAAACAACACTAAATTAATTAAAAACGCAACCACTTACGAATGCAGCCCATAGTCTCCTATACCTTTTTCGGTAATTTTTCTTACTATTATCAAGATAATTTACGTTTTAAATATTTGCCATTATATGTTCAATATTCTATTTTGAATTTATTATACGATTGTATTGCTTTAAAATGAAAATTATTAAAGAAAATGCCTGGAAATTTCTCAAATATTGACATTATTAAATAGGGTTAGAATATAATCTTCTTCTTTTCAGTTTATTTGCAATTAACTTAAAGGCCTAAGCAACTGGAACTATCCGGCCTATACACAATTTCTTCTTCTTTACTAATTTCTTTGGCTTAATTCACAAGCTCTCCATGGATAAAAAAGATTAAAACCTAATCGGGGGTGTATTGTTGACATTTTTTAAAAAGTTAAGAGGTTATTTGGAATTTCAACTTTAGACTTTGAACTGTTTATTTGATTATTTTCCGTTTATTAGCCAGGTGTCTCCTTCAAAAACCACCATTCTTACGTCCAGTCTTGTCAGAAAAGGTGTTTATTTAATTAGTTTCTCAGCTATATCCTTTATTTTAAAATGGCTAGCTTAGGAGTTCTACGAAGGAGCTTTTCAACTACCTCTTCCAGAAATGTTATCAAAAACGTTACAGTTATCGGAGGCGGTCTTATGGGATCGGGAATAGCCCAGGTAGGTTCTTAATTTTATTATTTCATTTTTAAAAGTGTTTACATTGAGTTAAATGCTATAATAGGTAGCAGCCCAAAGCGGTAACAATGTAACTCTTGTTGAAGTCAATGCAGACATCCTTAAGAAAGCTGAGGCAAGTATAGCAACAAACTTGGGTCGTGTAGCAAAGAAATTGTACAAAGAGGATCCAAATGCGGCTAAGAAGTTTGTTGAAGAAGCCAGCAGCCGTATAAAAGGTAAAATAAAAGAAGTTTCATTACTAGATTCTTTAATTTGTCATTTGTAGGCTCAACTGACCCTTCAGAGGCTGTAAAAGACTCTGATTTAGTTATAGAAGCTATTGTAGAGAATATTGGCATTAAACATAAATTATTTAAATCTCTGGACGAGGCTGCCCCACCAAAAACACTGTTTGCTTCCAACACCAGCTCATTATCGATTGGAGAGATAGCTTCAGTTGTTAAAAGAAAGGACAAGTAAGTAGAATATTATCTTTTAAAACATATAGTATACTAATTATCGCTGTAGATTTGGTGGTTTGCATTTTTTCAATCCAGTCCCCGTAATGAAACTGTTGGAAATTGTCCGAATCCCTGAACAATCCGAGGAAACTTACCAGGCTTTTGTGGCATGGGGCAAATCCATTGGAAAGACTTGTGTGACTTGCAAAGATACTCCTGGGTTTATCGTGAACAGGTTATTGGTGCCTTATATCGCTGAAGCTGTAAGAATGTTGGAAAGGGGTAAGGATATACCTTGATTTAAAAAAAAACAAAAGTAAAATAAGAGGAAATTTAAAAATAAAACTCAAAATTTCTTAAGGAGAAAATTCTTCATCTTTTTCTCCCTGATAATATTGGAATTTTATTTTATTTCAGTAAAATAAAATAATTTAGATAATTACCACAAAATAAGAAATATTTTGTGCATTGATTCAATAAATATAAATACATACATTGATTTGTGAAGCTAAATTGAATAATTTATGATTTTCGATGACTTGACATTTATTTTATCTTTATATACAGAATTTTTCTTAATAAGTGTTAATATTTTAAACGGTAGTGTATTTGAAATCCCAATAAACACGCCTGTGAAGGTTTTTTCACTAAAAGAGTTTGAGAATTTTGTTATTTTTTAATTTATCCTGTATATTACAGTTGAGGGTTGGAACCTTTGGTGTTACACAGCAAAATGAAACACTAAATCACCACAATACACCAAAACACTTTTACTTTTAGATTGGACGCGCGTTTCGCTAACCATGTTAGCATCATCAGCAGATGATTAAAAACTAAATTACAATCTACAATTTGAGCGTTTATATACTCATCAGCATCATTATTAAACTCATCTGTTTATAATCAACTGCTGATGATGCTAACATGGTTAGCGAAACGCGCGTCCAGTAAAAGTGTTTTGGTGTATTGTGGTGATTTAGTGTTTTATTTTGCTATCCTGTATATTTTAGAAAAGTCTTAACCGCTGCAGGTTCAGCTGAAATTTTCTTCTGTGACGTTTACATAGGTCAAAACGTGCTTCTAAAATTACTTGGTGATTTATAAGAGATATAAATAAGTAGATATACTTGAAGTAAGGTTTAGAAAGGTAAAAACTTTGTAAAGTTACTGCTGTAAGGTTTACAAAGGTGAAACCCCTCTAAACGTTAACGGTAAAACTCCTCGAGCTTACAGAGGTAAAAAAGCTTACAGGGGTAACATTTCTGTAAAGTTTACAGAAGTCGGACTTATGCAAACTTTACAGAGGTATTTTTTGTGTTATTTGTTTTGTTTTTGTTCTTACTAAATAAGTATAGACACAGACTATACTCAATTAAGAAATAATATACTCAGATACTTCAGAATTTTCAGGCGGCTTCAAAATATATATTTTTAAATTTTTTTAATAACTTCTCTATTTTTAACTTATTTGAAAAACAGAAAATAGAAAATATACTACACACGAGGGATGGGAGAGAAAAAAACCTTAAAGAAAAAAGTTTATTACGTGTAAAAAAATACTTTTTACGACATGACATTTAATTTCATTAAAAACGTTGTTAAGGCTGGTATAAAAATATATTTTACTGTTATCCCCATTCCTGCTACAAACCATTTGTTTTTATACTTCAGTTCTCTATGTTTACTTATTTCTCTGAGACTCAAACTAAAAAAAAACATTTTTTCGTTGAAATAGGTGATGCATCCCCAAGAGACATTGACACAGCAATGAAACTAGGAGCAGGATATCCAATGGGGCCCATTGAACTGGCTGACTACGTGGGACACGACACAACCCTGTCCATTCTACAGGGCTGGCACGATAAATACCCCGACAATCCCTTGTTCGTGCCGTGCGATTCGCAAAGGCAACTGGTCCAAGAGAAAAAATTGGGAGTCAAAACTGGAGAAGGATATTATAAATACAACAAGTAATCATGTTTAACGTTAAAATATTCAACGTTTTTTGGGTGCTGAAATTTATAGACTTAAGTTTTAAATCAGTTTCATCTTTTTCTTTAATTTTTTTTTGTAAAGAAAAAGAGAAATATTTTTTATTAACACAAGACTTTTTATATACCTATACATTTTATATTTCATATTGCAATATAACTTGTAAGATTATATTTTAATATCGGTGTTTTTTTGTATTTACCTAATCCTACTATTGTCCTGATTATTATGACAGCTCTGTGATTTTTGAACATCTGTCAATATCATATACTCTATCGCAGAACTGATTAAACCGCTATTTATCGTTTTTAATATACAAGGCGTCCCAATATTCCGTGGACATAGAACTACTCCGTATTTTTGGAATGAAAATAATTATGCACAATTATTTACCTCTATACCAAAGTGCTTCATATGTCCGTTAGAGGGCATGAAATATTAATAACCCAAACCAGTTCAAACGTTAATTAATTTAAAATTTATTGTGAAGTTTATTGTCAATAATCATTTGTGAAACTGATGTAACAGTCGATTATAATTGTATTACCAGATTTTAACGCTGGATGTAACCAAGAACTGTAAACTAATAGGATTGCTCATCCTCATAAGACGTATGTTCGCTTCTTCCCGCGCTTCAGCTGACAGTTGTGACGTCATTGTAGTCCTTGTCATGATAGTGTGTATTATTAGTTGCCTCTGGTAAACTTATAAAAATAACAGCTGAGAAATTTTGAGTTAATTTGTCAATTTTAAATATGAAAAAGGTGTCTTTAAAGTTTTTAGAGCTATAGAGTGTATAAATACGTTAATTTTGTGCTGTGGATTGTGACAAAGTGCCTACGAAATTGTTTATTAATTATTTTAGAGCAAAATATGGAAGTACTCTAAAAAAATGCTTGCAAAAGGTGATGTTGGGAACTGCTGTTCTTAAAAATGCATTATCCGAGTATTTAATACGATTTATACAGTTAATTTTCTATACTGCATACATATAAGGTGTTTAAATAAATAAACTAAATAATGAACGTTTTTTATTCGGCAACCAATAATGCACGTGTGTGTATTAGTGGTTGCCGGATAAGGACTAATAACCATGACAAGGACTACAATGACGTCACAAAGCGAGTAGTTTTCGCGTGCACCTGGCGGACACTTTTGGCTGAATGAGCAGTCCTATTAGGTTAACTGTTCTTGGGATGTAACGAGAAATGTAATGGGGTTTCCCGTAAATAAATAAATAAATCATTTTTATAGGTTAGCTTCGGAAAAATAAGTTTTTTCTCGAAAACCATGCGATCTGACGTTTTTATAATGGACAAAATTAATAAAAATAAAATAATTTTACAATGGGCAAAAAATGTAGTAACCACTAATGGACCCTTTAACGCAAAAAATCAGTCATTCTTGAAGCCTTGCAAAACATCACTCTTAAGAATTTATGTAGCGGTCAGGGTATAGTTTTCACCCTTCTCAAAGTTTTTTACTAAAATCGCTTAGCAAAACATAACACCCAAAATCTCATTCAAATCGCAATGTGGATCGTTAAAATATCTTGAAAAATGTGTTTATTTTTTAAAATTTTGATGTCCCCTAGCGGACAAACGAAGCACTTTTGTATAGAGGTAAATTATATGCAATTAACATATTTTGATTACAAAAATATCTTGCAGTACTTTTATATCCACGGAATATTGGGACCCCCAGTATTTCAAATAATATATCATCGTAGATCGGCGTAACAAAAGGTAGAAAAAATGTCTCCGCCTTGTTGTCATGTTGTCCAAAAACAAAATATTGCACAGAAAAAAATATAATCAAACAGTGTCTGATTAAAGCAGCAAAACAATGTTACCAACACTAACTCACTTTATTGTTACAGGGACGTGCTTGTAAATAAGAGTTTTTTACCTGCACCGATGTATTTTCTACGTATATTAAATGATTTTATGCTAAATGTAAAAAACCTAGAAGAATCGCGTAAACATCCATGCCTGATTTTTATGAAATAAAGTCTGTCAAACGAGTCAGAGATTTCGACAGACGACATCCAAAAAATGACAGTAAATACGTTTACCTATTAATTAAAATGACAGATATAACTGTCACTGTCATGAATGCTCTGGTTGGCCACACTACAGGGCGTTCCTTAATGACATGCTAATATTTAAGAAGGTGATTCTTGCACCTATTCTAAGAAAAACACTTCAATGAATATATGTACGTACTAAACATCTTAACTTTTTAGATACAGGGTGGTAAAATTTTTAATTTTTTTTTCAAAATATCTCTTTTTATTTCTTAATTTCCTTCCAGCCGATGCAGAAATGATTTCCACACGACAGTCACCGCATCATATTTTCAGCGATTTGACCCTGAAATAAACTGACTCTAATTTTTTTAAGTAAAAACTATGCGTTGGACGAAAAAAATCAAGACTTAAAAAATGTTAAGAAATGAATGGGAATTTGGAAAATAACTTTTAAGAGACGTCAGTGGTGTACCACTTTTTTCTCCAAAAATATTCAATGTAAAACCCGTCCACACGGCCCTGGTTGAAATAAATAAAATTCTTTGTACACCAAAAAAGATATTTTGATGAATAGAAGAGGTGTATTAAGTTTCATAAAGATATCTGTAACAAAATCAGAGTTATTATTGTGAAAAAAGGTTATTTTTTAGAAAATTTTACCACCCTGTATCTCAGAAATTAAGATGTTTAGGACATACATTCATATGAAGTTCTTCTCTTGGAATAAGTCCAAGAATCACGCCCTTAAATATTAGCATGTCATTAAGAAATACCCTATACATATAGTATAATTTATCTGTTCTAAAAGACATAGTCTATTTAAAAAAAATGACAAAATACCATTTACCTGTGAATTAAAACGATAAATATAACTGTCACTGCCATAGATTCTTTCCTTGTGTCGATAGACCATACCTAAGGAATTACGGATCAACTTGGCAACAAGGTGCAATAATTATTCCCGCTGTTCTAAACATTTTTAATATTACTAATTTTCAATTTTTGAAAAAAAGTACCATATGATCAAAAAAACCGGCGTCCAGTTGGCTAGAAAATGACGATCGATGACATGTCCCATATAACTTTACATATAAAATGACAGCGATCTTCATTTCATAGTCATATCTCCATCGCTGACGCCGTTTTTTTTTTCGATCACACGGTAGTTCTAATGTACAAAAATCAAAGTCGCTAAAAACCGAAATATTTCTTTAGAGATACAGGATATATTTTATAATAAATTTATTTATGGTATTCATGCTGAATTTCTTTTAGTTTAAGATATTGGTTGGAGACTAAATCTAGAGAAGTCCTGAATAAAAATGACTGGACTAGACAGTACAGGCTGTGGAAAAGAAAAATGAAAATCAAAAGTCGTCAAAGTTTACTACCTTTGTGAATTTTTATAACCTAATTATTGTTAATTTTCTTTGTATTTTAAAACGTTTAATATAGTTAATTATTAAAAAAAACACTTCTTGTCAATGTTTTTATTCCAAAAATATATTTCTCGATACACGTATAGTTCACAAGATAAAAAATCACACTGGTTTTTATTTTATTTTTAGCTGCCTTAAGTATTGTTTTTTTTGTCTATATTACGTATAAATAAATATTAAAATTAATAAATTATTATTGAGTGACAGGCGTAAAAAATTATTATTTTTTTGTATACCTTGTAAAAAATTTCGTCAGTTTTATAATACTTTCGCGTCAAATTCGTCAAAATTGACACACGTCATTATTTGATATGCTTTTCCTGATCTTTTCTACGTCATAACTTTTTAGCTATTCCTCCGTTTCAGCTAAGAAGTCTTCGAATAATTTTACCAAGTTATCAACGCCATCTAGATAGTTCCTGTCAATGTCCATACTGTCAGCCGGATAAACATGGGCAAAGTCTATCAGTTTAGCTGTAGCCCAAACCTGCATACATATACTCAAATTTATTAATACACATACAATAGAAACACTAATACAGTGTTGCCATGAATTCAAAGTATTTTTCTTCAAAGTGTATTTTCAGCGTGTGTATTTTGCCGAAATTCAAAGAAAAATACTCGAAAAAATGAAACAGATATATTATTATTATTATAATACAGGGTGATGGCCTTAAAATGCGCGGAGACTCCGAATAATAAAAATCTACTGACACCAAATCATAGAAATTAAAATATCAAGAAAAACCTAACCTAACCTTGAGAGTATTTTGAAGAGATATTAATTCTCCATTGAATATCGCAATAATATACTGGGTGTCCCGTTCAAAATAAAAGAGTAACTTGCTTTTAAAACTGACCAATTTTCAATATTAATTTTGTCTCACCCTGTATAACTTTTCGGGTCACGTTTTAATTTGGGTTAACATACAAGGTTTATTTTTCACTAAATATCCGGCTATACAGGGTAAATTACAAGCTTTTATTGACATTTAAAGTTTGCTCTTCATTTTTAGAAAATGTTAAATATGTCAAAAACCTTACATTTTAGTCATATACTTCTTTAATGAAACTTGCCCTTATTTTTTTCTAGAATCCGAAAATCTATTAATATATAGGGTGTTCTATTACAAAAAATAAACTTTGATTCGTAATAGTTTTTTGGGAACACCCTGTAGAAGTCTATATATTTTAAAAAATTCTTCGTGTCGTACGAGTGATGCCACCCTGTACTATTTTTTGAACTAAATTTTTAATCTTTTTTATTTAGCTATTGAGGCACTCGGTTTATCTAGGGACATACCGGGTGTATAGGAAATACTGCTAAACTAAAAAATAATTATTATAGTAAATTCTAACCTCACTTTTCCAATCCGAACACAGGTCGTCCAACATAAAGGTATAACTCTGCTTTTTGTGCTGCACGTCTTTGTCGTAGTTGTTCTGGAACGAATGAGTGCGTTTCAACAGTCTCATCGATTTCTGCCACGTGTTATTATTGTTTATTATTCTTGGCCCTTCCAGATTGACTATTCGCTTGGAGGGGTGCCTGAGAATGGGGCCCTCTTTGGTCAGCTGACCGCTGAAACCCGTGACGACTTTTTCGCAGCCGTTGTTCAGCGTTGCCAAACTCAGAGGCCTGGAAAAAGGATAAAGTAAGGGTCTTTGACAGGTCCTATTGCAAAATAAATGCCAATATTTTATTAGTGTATGTGTATGATTTTTTTTCTAAAAAAAAGTTCAAAGTTTTGTATTTTTCTTTAATTTCACTGTATAACTTTATAAAACTTTTCAGAACTGCAGATTTATCTGAAATTAGCTCATAATAACAATATGTTCGAAAAAAAATGGCGTCGACGATGGCTATGAAATGAAGATCGCTGTCTTTTTATAAGTAAAATTATACGGGGAATGTCACAGGTTCTATTGCAAAATAAATGCGAATATTTTATTAGTCAATGATTTTTTTTCCTAAAAAAGTGTTCAAAGTTTTGTATTTTTCTTTAATTTCACTGTATAACATTATAAAACTTTTCAGAACTGCAGATTTATCTGAAATTTGCTCATAATAGGTACATTATTATCGAAAAAAAAAAGGCGTCAGCGATGGCTATGAAATGAACATCGCTGTCAGTATATGTAAAATTATATGGGGAATGTCATCGATCGTCATTTCCTAGCCAACTGGACGCCGTTTTTTTTTCGATCGTACAGTACTTCGAGACAGTGTACTAAACGTTGCCAGTTCGTATACGAGGTACAGTTCTAATTGTTTTAGAAACGTTCAATGAAAAAAAAACGCATATTACATTTACCCCAAATGTACAGGGTGTCCCATTTTAGTTGAAATCATACGGTATTTCTGTTATTAGTGAAGATAGAAGGGTGCGGTTTGCACAAACCTGTCCCACTTTTTTTGTGAAACGGAAGATGATGTAAACAAAATTTTCATAGCCCTCTTCGTTTCTGACTACAGGGTCTTTTTGAAAATTTTGCAAATCGCGACACCCCTCGTATCTCCGTTATTGTGAAAGGTATCAAGAAGAGGTGAAAACTGTTTATTATAGTAGTCTATTTTTCTACGAAAAAAAATATGAACTAAGTTATGTTCTTTTAATGGAACACCCTGTATATTTATAAATGATATGATCTGACTTGCCACAAGCTTCTCAAAAATATATATCAATCTATATTTACCTTCACTATTTACTGCAATATTTAAAAGTTTTCATTAAAAGATCATTTTTAATAGTAGGCCATGATTGATAATAAAAGAAACTAAATAATTATTAAAAGAATACTGCTATCTGTCTCTTGTTTTATTTGGGGAGCCACTAATAAATTATTTCTTCTTTCTTCACTAATAATGGAGATACCGTATGATTTCAACTAAAATGGGACACCCTGTACACTCCTTGAGTTTAAGAAATGATATTAAAGGAAATGGTTTAAATTTATTATAGGTATTTTTTATTCTTTATAAAAATCTGAACATAACTGAAAATATACCAAGAAACAAAATAAATACATTGTTTTATACAAGGGAGCTTCAAAAATTACCTAACTCAAAATTAAAGTAGTCTAATTTTCCAAAGTATGTAAAATAGTTACTTAAAAAAGTTGTTTAGTATACAACAAACAAAATTGAAATTAAAAATTATTTCAAAAATTAAATAAAATCATGAAGAAAAAAAATACATTCTTACCTATACAAGCTAGTGTGTCTCGTAAGCGTTGATATCCTATTATTCTGACATTCCCTCGCTGGTTTTAGATGCTCTTTCAATCTTCTAGCGTCGTAAACAAGAAGAATAGAAGAAGCATATAACCTTAATCTTCTCTGATTCCTAGCGAAATGCTGGATTTGCCACAGGCAAGCCAATAGTTGCATCAACAGTTTTCGACAAAAATGATAACAATCCGCGTTCAAAAATTCTTTTATCACTAAAAATAAAATAAAAAAAAATATCAAATGACTTTGAATCAGACTTATTTAATTTTTTTGTACCTTCTTTTGCTGAATCTTTATCTAAAGTTTTTCCGAAATCCTTCCCATATTTTACCAAGCGATTTTGAGCGATTTTGTATACTTGAAGGCCCGGTATACAGAAGCCTAGATCTCTCTTGCATTCGTGATACTTTTTCTAAAACAAATACAGAGCGTTACCACCCTCCCTATTGCACAAATTTATTTTTCGTTCAATTTTATGTATTACAATATAATAACCCTTTCAACAGATCTTCTTCTTTCTTTGTATTGATTTCGCTTTTACAAATGACGTCAAGTAAAGGCCTCTCTATCTCAGAAATTATCAGCTAATTTGAAAATCTAAAAGCACTATCAGATAGCCCTAATAAAGTGGCTATGAGAATGTGCAATTCATTTTTTGATTTTCTAAAAAGTAACGATAGGAAAAAATAAAATTAATTTTCAAAAAAATTCGTTTTTTTTTCAAAAAAAACTCAGCAAGGCTTGGAATTTTTAAAACTTTTTTGATGGAATGAAGATCGCTGTCATTTTATAAGTAAAATTATATGGGGAATGTCACAGGTTCTATTGCAAAATAAATGCGAATATTTTATTAGTCTATGATTTTTTTTCCTAGAAAAGTGTTCAAAGTGTTGTATTTGTCTTTAATTTCACTGTATAACTTTATAAAACTTTTCAGAACTGCAGATTTATCTGAAATTAGCTCATAATAACAATATGTTCGAAAAAAAAACGGCGTCAGCGATGGCTATGGAATGAAGATCGCTGTAATTTTATAAGTAAAATTATATGGGGAATGTCACAGGTTCTATTGCAAAATAAATGCCAATATTTTATTAGTCTATGATTTTTTTTTCCTAGAAAAGTGTTCAAAGTGTTGTATTTGTCTTTAATTTCACTGTATAACTTTATAAAACTTTTCAGAACTGCAGATTTATCTGAAATTAGCTCATAATAACAATATGTTCGAAAAAAAAACGGCGTCAGCGATGGCTATGGAATGAAGATCGCTGTCATTTTATAAGTAAAATTATATGGGGAATGTCACAGGTTCTATTGCAAAATAAATGCGAATATTTTATTAGTCTATGATTTTTTTTCCTAGAAAAGTGTTCAAAGTGTTGTATTTGTCTTTAATTTCACTGTATAACTTTATAAAACTTTTCAGAACTGCAGATTTATCTGAAATTTGCTCATAATAGGTACAATATTATCGAAAAATCGAAATTTCAAAAAAACTCAGCAAGGCTTGGAATTTTTAAAACTTTTTTGATGGCATCTTGGTGAACATCCAAGATACCAATGATCGTACACCGAATTTGTAGCACCCTGTATACCCTCCTACCAAATTTGAGTATTACATTTGGAATGGGTCACCCTGTATATCTTTTTTCGTCAGTTTTTATAATATTTTTTTGATTTTATAAAATTAGTTCGTTTCTACCACTAAATAAAAATGTCTTGCCTTACCTCTTCTGCGATAATTTTGCTGTAACTCGCGTAAGGATCCCAAGTTCTTCTTCCTATTTTTATGTCCATCACGCAGGGTTCCTTAAAATCCTTGGTTAAATTTTCTAACACTAAATAGTCTATCAGTTTATCTTTGAACATAATCTACAAAAAAATATAGATATAGTAACAAGAAAATTAGTAAACATAGATATTTTGTTTATCTATTTTTACTTATTTTTCCAGGTCAGAAATATTTATTTTATATCAGCTACGTGTTGATTTTTTTCTTACTTTTTCTACTCCGTAGTATTTTGGCACAAGGTGTCTCATCTCTATCAGAGACCTGTCAACTGTCGTTTCCAGCTGTTCGTACAGTCTGATCTCCCTTTCGGCGCAATCTTTTTTTAGCAGCGGCTTGTAAACTTTGTCATCCTTTGACAGCATACCTGAAAAAAAATAAAAGCTTTTAATTCAATCAGGGCCATGTAAGTGAAATATTCAAAATGGTTCCAGCAAAAGTTTTCCAATTATGACGGGTGATGGCGCTGATCGTCAAGATTTTTGGACAGGGATTTTGCTTACCGACAATACGACGTGAGCTACGACCGGACCAGGACCAATCAGAATGATCAGTCCAGGTGGATGACACTTCTTATGGGAGAACTGGAAATGGTTGAAAACTTGACTACAAGCGATTTTCTAGGAATCTTCCTTACCGATAAATTATTGACAAGAGTGACAGATAAAACCCTGACATTCTTTCCGTATAACTGTTCATCTCTTTTTCTTTCTAAAGTGTGCGTTGAAAGGAGACAAAAACAATTTTTGTAACCCATAATTTGTTATTCGAACACCACTTTTCTCCTTGTCGGGTCGTTGACGTTGACTTGTCGCCATTTTATTTCTTTTGTTTACACGCTGCAGTTTGCTTTGTAAATTGAATACATAAATTATTTAGGCAAATATAGGTTTTTGATAAAACTCCTTGGACTAACGTGTAGGTAAGTGTTGATAAATAAGTTTTTTTTTCATCTTAACATGCTCATTGTCATTCTCCTGATTTAGGTGACAGAAAAGGATCATCAAATCAAATTGAATTTTATATTTTTCATCATCCCATGACCGATAATAAAATATATATTTTATGGATACCTTCCTAAATATCAACGAGATGAGCCATCGGAAGAAAGGGACCATAGTACAAAACAGAAGGGTGATCTTTTTCTTTCCACTTAGGATATTGAAATTATTATATACTGTAGTCGTGTTCGGCATTATCTCTGAGAAATATAGATAAACAAAGAACAACAGATATAAAGCATCCCAGAGGAAAAGAGAGGCAATACCTGTATGTACTCTCTCTGATATTTGTGAAAGTTACAGCAAAGTATTGTTGTAAATGTCATCTTTTTGATAGACCTGAAAACTTCGAGCAAAAAGATGACACTTTCAACAATATCCTGACAGATATCAGAGACGACAGGTTTTTCCTCTCTTTTCCCCTGGAATACTTTTAATTTATTATTCTTTGTTTATCTAGATTTCTCAGAGCACTATGAATGAACTCAGCTTGTATGTTTGAAATAATCGTCCAGTTGGCTTAAAAATGATGATCGAAGATATTTCCCATATAATTTTACTTTCAAAATTATGATATCTTTTATTTCTAAGCCATCTATGACGCCATTTTTTTCAGTTTTGTTATAATTAATTTTGTCTCTTGATCTACTTGTAACATTATTCTTTTAATTTTTTTAATTTATTGTGGTGAAAGTAATTTCTGTTGTATATTTGATATTGATATTAAACATATTTTTAAAAAATGGTGTATTTTTTGTGTTTTTGTGTATGTCATAATTAAAAATAAATGAAGAAATACATTTTTTTATTTTTTTAAACTTCCCGCCATGCGTGACAATTTAGTCCGTAGTTCCTACAAGCGAAATTGGGGGCGCTAGTAGCAGTAAACTTGTCAACAGTGTCAAATTTAAACGTCAATTTCACTTTCCAATATTTAGCAAGGCGCTCGCACTTCTTCTTGTGTATGTGTTTTGTGGATCAGTCTTTCTTGGACATTTGTCGCGGAACTGTGTGTTAATTTCTGTTGTGATAAGTGTGGTTGTGTTTGCAGTTTGATTTTTCGGTTTTGATATTATGTTACAATTAATTTTGAAGTATTGTATCACCTGTTTTTATGTAATAGTACTTTTTTTTGTTCTATGATCTGATATGTTATGATTTGTTAATGTTTGTTTAACAATGTTATACCATACCATATTTAATTCCTTTTGTTTCCGTTTGTAATTTTATTTTTAAGACATATTATGTGATTGTTTCAGATAATATGTTTTAAAAATAAAATTGCAAATAGCGAATAAAAATAATTAAAATAAAAAAGTGTATTTTACAATTCCCCCGGCCCCGCACCCCTTTGGCTAACCTGTAAATGTCAGCTTTGTCGAGAGATGGCGTTACGAAAATGGAACCGATTTATTACAAGTGTAAGATTTTTTTTTTGTTTACTTTCTTTATAAAATAATAAACAATCTAAACAACTAACAAAACCATAACTCGTGACAGGATAATTAAAATGTTTTAAAGTATTATATTGTCAGGACAACAAATATATAATAAATCACAGACTCACCAAATAATCCCTGAAGCATTGACCCTGAGCGGAGGCGTACTTTAATACCTGTCATAATTAAAAGTAAGGATAAGTGTCCAGTTCATAATTCCGACCTATTTAACTGCTATATGCCGATATTGTTTTGCCCTAACTACCTATTATTTATTTTCTATTTATCTTACTAGATGGACTAATTTATCTCTGTCTCTCTCAATACAAGATTTACAAACATATCTATGCAAATGCACTGCTTGGCCTTCCGCCCACGCACCCCCTGATGGCGCGGACTCCAGAGTAATCAGCCGCACGGGCAACAGAATAAACACAACATATCGATCCCGAGATTCGAGGACCCTGGGGGCCTGTTCCCGCCGCTGAAGACCCGGAGGTACCGTCCCAGACATAATAATAATGTCCGTTGTCACACGGCGTACGGAATCCCAGATCCCTGCCGTGTGCGACGTTGCGACATTACGAGGATTCGCGTCCCTGCTACTATGACATTACGGGATCCCAGATCCTGCCAAGCAACATTAACGGGCCTATCCTTGCGCTTCCTCAAGCTAAGCAGTACTAACTCTACTGAGAACAGAAATTCACTAATCCACCTAAAGCTTACGTGGCTATCATATTAACTAATTAGGTACTTTATAAAAGAACTATCCAATCTCTCTCTCTCTCTTGATTACAAATTTACTTATCTCATCAAATACTAACGTACTGTCTTGCCCCCGTCCACGCCCCCCCGTGGCACGGTCTAGACGAACCAGAAGACCCGGATACAGCGGCTGAATCTCTCGGGGTCCCGCTCCCGCATCTGGTTACGCCCAGAGGCACAATATAAAAACCGGTGATAACCAGGATTTTACTCCCTACACCGTTGCGACATTACGAGGAATCGCGTCCCTGCTACTATGACATTACGGGATCCCAGATCCTGCCAAGCAACATTAACGGGCCTATCCTTGCGCTCCTCCTGACTAGACAGCACCGACTCTACAGAGTAAAGAGATTCAATAGCCTATCTAAACAAAGCTCACGTAGCTGCCGCATCGGTATACCGCCGCATTATTTAATTACTAACCCTATCTAACTTTCATATTCTATATTTTGACCTAGCATGTATACGGCGCAGTTATTTAATGTAATATTTAATAATATGTGTACGCAAATGATATCTAACAAAACGTATCAATATATTTATCAAAATATTCATGATCTAATTAATTAATAAACTACGACACTTAGTGAGATGTACTCACCCTGCTTTCTGCTTATATCACTGCACTAACTAACTAATTAACTTTTACTTTAACTGACACACTATTCACGCCACCGCACTCAAAACTGTACTGTGCGTCGGAATATGTGTATTTTTCTGCATTAGGTAATATTCTCAAACTTTCTTTTTCGAAACAGAAGTGTTTCGACCAATCATCGTTCGATTTTGAACGCTTTTCTAGGAATACTTTTACCCCTAAATCGGAGCGCAGGACGCCCATAAATCAGATATGGCGTGACATGCTTGAGACGCAGAAATACTTAACAGGCACAAACTCTTAATATGTGTCGTTTTAAAACCTATGTTAAAAGAAATATTATTGGGAAAATAAACTCACGTTATACAAGGAACTTGGGCTTCTTTTTCGTTAGTATATTCTGTGAATTCAATTATAAAGTGATTTTAATCCATATATTATTTTAACCAAAGCCTTTTACCCAAGATAACTCTTCAAGGTCACAAATCGTTAGACTAAATCATTAAAAAATCATTAAGATTATGGAATGCAGCGATTCTAGCATGTATATTAAGAAAACTACAGGGTGGGCAAGTGTTAAAACCAAAATTTTCGATTCAATAATCTTGAAAACGCTTTAAATGTGAATAAAAAATTTAATTTGGAAAACCAGGCTGTTCCTTGATGAAATGATAATATATAGGATGATTCGTGGATCTGATATGAATGTCTGATATCATATGTCCTATGGGATGGGAGAATACCTGACAGTGAGAGTTAGTGTCTGTCATTTTAATTATTATATTTATTATTGTATTAGCGTGAACCCGCGACTTCGTTCGCGTCGAATTAACCATTTGTAATAGTGATGATAAAAAATTTTGAAATATGTAAAAAAATTATAGAGAAAACTTGGTTGTGATAATATTTGAGGGGTAGTTTCATCTCGTTGAAATTTGACTTTCGAAAAATACGTTTGCCAAAAATAAGCTTTTTACGTCAAGCAGTTTAAGCAGAATCGTGGTTAAGATATTACCCAACTTTTTGGAACACCCTGTATAATTTTTTAAAAAACTTCAAAATATGTAAAAAAAACAAAATAAATGATGCGTGTCCAAAACGTTTTCCCGAAAGACTAACCGTTTTATAAATAACAGATATTGTAATATATGAGGGGCGTTTTCACCCTCCTGGAATTTGAGATTCGAGAAACCCCTCCTTATCGAACCTCTACACCCCAGAGTCAATTCGTTTGCCAAAAATCAGCTTTAAACGTTAAGCAGTTTAAGCAGAATCGTGATTACTCAATGGTCATATTTTATGAAACACCCTGTATAAATTTTTAAAAAATCTTAAAATATGTAAAACAACAAAATAAAATATACGTGTTTAAAAGTTTTTCCGAAAAACTCACCAGTTTTAAAATAAAAAATATTTTAATATTTGAGGGGTGGTTTCACCCCCTTAGAATTCGAATTTTGAAAAATCCCTTCTTATCGAACCTCTACACCCTAAAGTCAATCCGTTTTCCAAAAATCAACTTTTTACGTCAAGCGCTTTAATTTGATTAATCAATGACCAGATTTTTCGAAACACCCTGTATACATTTTTAAAAAATCTTAAAATGTAAAAAAACAAAATAAAATATACGTGTTTAAGCGTTTTTACGGAAACTTGACCGTTTTTTAAATAAAAATATTATAATATTTGAGGGGTGATTTCACCCCCTTGGAACTGGAATTTCGAAAAATCCCTTCTTATCGAACCTCTACACCCTAGAATGAACCTGTATGACAAAATTGAGCTTCTTACGTTGAGTGGTTTGAACAGGATCGTGATTAATCAGTGAGCCAGTCACTTAAGGGTTTTATATTAGTATAGATTTTCTGTCATTGATTCTCGGTCATTTATCTGTCACATGCATTAAAATACGAACCACGGCATAAGGTGCCCAGGACTGTATATTAGAACATCATAAGTTTAAAAGTGCATAGATTATAAAAATTGACGTTGATTATTTTTTATTTTCATTATTCAAACACACCTCAATAATTTACGGTATAGACCCGGATAAAGATAATGTTTTTTTGATAAGCTTTTAATTTACAATGGCCGCTCGCATTTCGCAGTCCATTCGAGATAACAGAACAGGATTTACGACTTGTATTTTCGTACTTTTATGACGTAGTTGTAGCTACCTGTAATAATTTAATCTGACAAAAATGTATTACGTACTTTTTTATATTACTACTATTATTGATAAAATGTCTGTAAATGCCCTGAATATTATTTTTAATTAAATTGTTGAGTGTATATTTTCACTAAAAATGGATAACATTAGCTAACATTAATATCAGCTAATATTACCAATGTTAGCTAATATATTACTGGCTAACAATTTTCTGTTAGCTAACATTAAAATTGTAAATTAACTTCAAATTATTATCGGAGTGTGCTAACCTCTAATCTTGTTAACTAATTTTATAGAAAAAATATATTGGTCAATATCGAAAGATGCTACGTTGGCTAACAATCTAAGGAAACAAAGACTGCTAACCCAAAGTGTTAGCTAATAAAATTTACGTTAATTATAGGTATAGAAAATTTTATACTCAACATTCTTAGCTAAAAATTTTGGTGTAGTTAACATTAACACTTTTAATTAGCTTCAAACTATTAAGGGTTTTTTTGAAACCTCTGTAAAAATCATGTATAGACAATTTTGTATGAAACTTAATACAAAATCGTCTAACCTTAACAATATTAGCTAATACACTAATTAACACTGATATATTAGCTATCAATGTCATATTAACTAATATTACCAATTGTTTGCTAACAACATTAGCCAACAATATTGTTAGTAGACATATTATATAGAGTATTATTAGCTAATTTCGTTGCAAAACATATTTAGCTAATCATGCTCAATATCAAAGCAAAACTGCTTAGCTAACATTTTTAGAAGGAAACAAAGAGTGCTTACACTGCTAGCCTAAAGAGTTAGCTAACAATATTAAAATTGTTAGCTAAAAATATTCGTACACACAGCAATAAATATTTGAAATATCAATAAGTAGTCGTTAGCCAAAAATATTTTAGCTAAAAATAAATTACTAGTTATAGTAAATTTTATATTGAATTCTATTAGCTACCCATTAATGCAAAGGCTTACAAAACTATACTTAAAACGTTAGTTACATGATGTAGAATAAAGAATGTTTGAATAAGTATTTAAAATACGATGATGAAGAAAAACTTTCAATTTCCGTTGACATGACATGACGAAGCAACGAAAGACAATGAAGGTTAAGTGGAAAATAATTATGGTTTGGAGCAAATATATCATTATGTATTCGCAAATAATTACACAAAATCATTTCGAAAAAAATGTAAACAAACATGGAATGGTAGATTTCTTTTCGAACTATCTTACGTGCTTCTTTTTGACACTGTAAACAGTATGAACTTTCACTCCTTTTACCATTCTAATTCTATTGCAAACAAAATGATATTATGTACACTCCCTATTTCTTTTTTCGTTTAATCGCTTAGTATTAATTATATTACTTTTGAATGGAAAAACTAGAAATCACAGGAAGTTCATTGTGTACAATATAATACCTTTTGATCGAAAAAAAAAACGGCGTCAAAGACGGCTGGGGAATGACAATCGACAATAATTTTGGCGAGGTCAATCTCTAAAAATTATTTATTAAAAATTGTAAAATTAATTATAGAAAAATAAAAAAAAGATAGAAGTTTCCAGATCTACACAAATCTATATCCAAAAAGGGCTTGACCTCGCCAAAATTATCATCGATTGCCATTCTCCAGCCGTCTGTGACACCGTTTTTTTTTCGATCAAACGGTATCTTCACTCAGTACTACTCACCAACACCTCCAGAATCTTCTATAACGTGCCCAGCCACCTGGTTACTCAACAACTTCATCCCTTCGGGCATTTCAACGTCCAGTTTCTTCCCGCTCAAATCTTCATCATCCTCATCAACAGAATCGGGGTTTCTACCGTTCTGCAACGTTGCCAAACCCTCCTCGATTATCCTGACCAGTCCGTTGTTGCCGTTCCTCACGCTACCATTCACTGACACCTTGTCATAACCGCAACTGTAGTTGTTTTCGGGCCTCTGGACTGGCATAGACTGGATCTCGAACTTTCCCATTTTATCTCTGTGTGTGCCTGTGTGTTTTTTTTTTCTGAGGGAGAATGAGTGACAGGTCTATAAACATAAACTATCTACAGTGCAGTTCTCTGGTTCTATCTTCTTTTATTTTTTTTTTCTCGGGATGATACGTTTACCTATTATGAACGGTATTGTTGGTATCTTGGCAGATCTGAAAACAAAGCAATAAATAATTTGAAATTTTTACTAAAAATGATAAGAAAAAAATATTATTTTACATTAAGGCGGGGTCTACACGTAACGCTTTACCTTACGTTTTGCCTGTCAGTTAAAACGGAACACCGTCTAGAGAAATAATGACGGAAGTTCTCTGAACCTCGTCTAGATCTTTGAATAAAAAAATTAAGGAAGGAGCATATCAAAAAACCTTAGGTTGAGCGCGATGGGGACCAAAAATGGCCGAATTCCGGTTTATCAGTGCCGTTCTAATATTATTCAAAACGTGTAAACATATGACGTAGGGTAGAGTCAGTAAGTTGTTGTTTTATTTTACGTTGTCAATAAATGTTGGTAGTTATTAAAATTGTTATAAAAATATATAGTTCTAATAAAAATAGACAAGTTATAATAATTTTTTATTAACACAAATATCCGATACGCTACTGAAGCAGGTAAGTCAAATTGACGTATGTATCTAAGACTGTATTCCGTTGCAAAACCAGGCCAACCAGACCGGTTTATACAACTATCAGTAGTAGAATAAATAATAAATAACATAAAATAAGCTCAGGAAAGACCGACAAATCCACAAAATTTCAAATAAAATTCAAATGTGTCAAATGAATCGTCAGACAGAACTGTCAAGGGTCCCCACCCTAGGGCCTAGAGCACTACCTCTGTCTGCCATGTGTATGGATACACGGATAGCATTATAATCATTCTTTAATCTTTTTATGCAAAGGTTTTACCTACCAGGTAAAACTTATGTCTATACTTTAGTCTTTATGTCTATACAGTTCTCTAGACGTCCTCCGTTTTAACTGTGTAGACAAAGCTTTACATATAATATTTTTGATCGATATTACTGGCATATTTTTCCTTTAATTATTATTAATAATATTGATGACATTATAATCCTTTAGACGCTTTATTTGACATTTGTAATTAATTTGCAATACATAATATAACATATTTATATGACGATCATATTTTAATTGATAATAATATAATTATTGCTTTAATAACTTTTACTCATTTTTATTCACGTATTTGATTGGAAAATCCTATTTTAAATATACAGGGAGTTTAATTTTACAGCGCCTCCGAAATATGCGCAAAATGTGGGATCTTGTACAAGATATCTTAATAGCCGTAAAAAACACATCGCAACTATAAAGTTGTTAGTCCACCCTGTAAATATAAAAATAAATTTATTTAGAAATTCGAACTTTGTTTTTGTAGAAAATGTATTTATTTACGACCGACACAACCTACATTTTTCTTCGAAGAAAAATAAAAAAAAAATCATTACATGAAAACCCGAAAAGCGAAAAACAATTTCCCACACGAAACAATGTGCTTTCCTTTAGCGTCAATCGGCAAGGCGCGAATTTTTCCCGCCCGATGTCCAAAATAATGGAAAAATTTCGGTTTACTGCTTGGATTTAAAATAGAAATGCCGCTGCCTAGACATCAAAACCATCAAAAATCTAATATTAATTCGTAGATATGTTGCCCCTGGGATATTTTTAATACTAAAAATAATAAAGCGTCGTAACAGTATCGGAAAATGAACGTTAAAAATTATATTATGAAGTGAAAATGTTCCTTTTGTAATTCTAGACAGTGGCGTAGCCAAAAGGGAATTTTTAACTTTCTATAGCTCATACCGTGTGAAATCAGTTGGCTCACTCTTCGCCCGTATCAAAATTCCTCCCTCCGCTCCCCGCCTGTCTTGTAGACTTGGGCCAGTCTACATCCATGTCGCTCGACTTGTACACAGCGCAGCGGTCCAAGTTTATTTTAGTTTTGTTTTCGGTCCGACGCATAGGGTGAACCAAAAATAGTGTTTTAGTTGTTTTAATTGTGAATAAAATGTCTACTAGAAATATATTTGTGCAGTGGATGGTTGTGAAAGTAGAATGACAAACAATATATCGTTCTTTAGGTGCCCAAATGATGAAGGAAGGTATATGTTTATACAGGGTTGTTCACCACATACGACACGAAGTATTGTAGCTAAACGACTAGATTTTTACAAATTGTAAGTTTTGGATTCGTTCAAGGACTATTAGAGCTACAATTTAAAAATATTTTTACAAACTACAGAGTGTCCCAAATAAATAAAAAATATCAAAGTTGTATTTTTTTAAATGGAACACCCTATATATTATTACATTTTTAGATTCTACGCTTAAAATAAAGGTAAATTTGATTAAGGTTTATTACACTTAAACCTTACCGTTTTTGAAATATTTTCAATTTTGTTAAATTGCAGTATAAATTTTAAGGCTGCATTTCTCCGCTGGTATCAAAGTTTTTATTACTAAATATTTACTGAAGTTTATTTATTGATTAGTTATTGTGTTGCAATAATAAAAACTTTACTACCTTATACAGAGTGTCTAAAAATTAATTTTAAATAATTACTAGCTTTAAACGGCAATAATTTGTTTAATTTAAATGGAACACCCTGTATATTTTATGAGAATCAGATGCACAATTTAATTGTCTATCAAATTGTATTATACCATTTTTTACCTATCTCTTCAAGTTTCCGTAGAAAATGCATTTTCTTGTAATTTAGAACCCATTTATCAATATACCCATGGAATACTGACATTTTAGGTTATTTTTAAAGATGTACCAAATTTTTAAAGAGTACAGATACTAATATTGTCGATATAGTTCGTTTATTTCATTAAAAAAAACTGTTTAAATATATGTTAAAAAGGACCAATGAATATGATTCCAGTATTCAAACTACATTAATTGACTGTTTGCGTTGATTAATAATAATTGCTCCAAATACTAAAAAGCTGAATTATGTATGTGTATTAGACAGTGTGGTAAAAAGTAACACCTTAAAAATTATATTTAATTTTTCGACAAATGCCTATTTATAACAACAGAGACGTTCATTTTCATAACTTATTATTATATTGATTTCTGATTCAAATTCACATTTATTTAGAATAATTTATTAACGAACATAATAATTAAGTATGTAGTTAATTAGTATTTGGGCGGAAATACTGGGGGTACATTTAATTAATGGTATACTCTTTTATAAAGATTTAAATAGTTTTCTTTTTGCATACAAATGGGCTAGTGATATTATCGTTTTACTAAAAACGATAATATTACTAGCCTGTACATTTTGTACATTTGTTGTTTTAAAACCAATCTAAAATGTCAATATTCCATGGGTATATTGATAAATAAGGTCTAAATTATAAAAAAATGCATTTTCTACGAAAACTTGAAGGAATAGGTAAGAAGTGGTATAATACAATTTGATAGACAATTAAATTGTGCATCTGATTCTCATAAAATATACAGGGTGTTCTATTTAATGTAAATAAGTTATTGCCGTTTAAAGCTAGTAATTATTTAAAATAAAATTTTAGACACTCTGTATAAGGTAGTATAATTTTTATTATTGCAACACCTTTATTTTAATCGTAGAAACTAAAAATGCAATAATACACAGGGTGTTCCATTTAAAAAAATACAACTTTGATATTTTTTATTTATTTGGGACACTCTGTATCTTGTAAAAATATTTTTAAATTGTAGCTCTAATAGTCCTTCAACAAACCCAAAACTTACAATTTGTAAAAATCTAATCGTTTAGCTACAATACTCCGTGTCGTATGTGGTGAACAACCCTGTATAGTATAGGATATTAATTATATAATAATTAAAGTATTAGACATATTAAGTATATTATAATTATGGAAACCCAACTATGAATAAATTGTTTTAAAAATATACATATAAATTAAGAAAAGATTTTACTCGAAATATGCACAAAATATTTACTTTTAACAATTATATTATTATTTTAGTAGATATTTTAGAGTAGTAGTCGATACTTTACTATTATATTTTGGATTTTCCAGTATTTACCGGTTGGCAAAGTGCATATTAAATTATTTTTTAAGATATTTGCATTTTTTTAAATAGCATGTTTTGCTTTTTAGATGTTTGTATTAAACTTTAACTACCTACCTGAAAAGTAAAAAATAATAAAAAAAACTGTTAATCAATAAAACTAGTACTGTATTTTTATTTTTCTACTTGCTATATTAAAATTCCTTAGTATTTTGCGTTCTGACTGATAAAATAGCACTTCCGCTGCACCCGGTAAACGTACAAATTTTTTGTCACCTCAAAGGGTCACGAGCCGCCTTTGAAGTCAAAATAACAATAGAATTCCTTAGAGTGAGCCAACTGTATATGTATATATTCTTAAAGGAGCCAATAAACGACACCTTTAAAATTAAGATGGGATTTCCTATGGCATGAGGCGAAGCATCACCCGGTATAGAAAGTTACTTGAACTTTCCATTTTCAATACAATCATTGATAACGTCATCGATGTTTTCCAGACGGGATAGGACATTTTCCTGAATTTTCCGCGTCATAACTTTTCCAGCTAAACACACACACGAAAATCAACCGAAAGGAAAATGTAAACAATTTTTATTTTTTCCTGGCTATTATTCAGCTTTACGAAAATGCTCGAGAGAGAGTAATCAGTAAAAATAAGTACACAATTTTTACACTGACTGGTCCGATAGTTTGGACAATAAAGTTTTCGATTTTGTTTGGCTTAAATTTAGAGTAGCTCTATGTAGACAATTATTTGATGAAATATTGCCTGCGTAGACAATGTTTCACAATATTTTGCGATGTTGAACTGAATTTATAGTTTTTGTAGTTTTTTAATACGATTTTTATGGATCAGATCAATCAGAATACTTCGAATAACGCCAAAGTGATTTATACAGCGCGGCAATTAAGATTTCAATAGGTTTTTATTGCCGTATTTTATCGATTTAACAACAGTAAATCGTTAAGTGTGCAGGAATAAACGGCGTAGTGTTGTAGCAGAACAGCGAAAAAATATATTCTTAACACTTTTAAGTCGTTAAAAGTTAAAAGTAAAAACACACAAAATTTTACAGCTCAAAATATTTTTTTTTG